GTACATTAATAAATCATGGAAGGTAGACCGGTGTTATAGCGTGGCATTGTTGCCATGTGTTGCCATGTGTGTGAAAGTATGAGTTGGGCTGTGGGTGGGTGGGGGGGGGTTTGGGAGAAGGGGGGGGATTATTGGCTTAGTGTTTTGGCCAGGTTTAAGTGAAACAGCCCTGAAAGGCTCTTAGTGGAGATTACCCCACGTACTAAAAATAGCTATTCCTGCCCAATACACACATGAGCGCTAAAAAGAGCTATAAAAGTGTTGTGTCTAGCCAGAAAATACCACTATCTGATCTTTGTATAGGGTGTCTCAATTACGCAAAGACTCACACACACACACACACACACACACACACACACGCACACACGCACACATGTGTGGCTTCAAAGTGATGAGAGAGACGGGTATCCACTCGGGGCAAGGGATCAGCTGGGGCAAGAACACCAAACCATGCCTCAATCAGCAGCAGGGGCCCATTGGGAACGTGGGGTTGAGTGTGTGTGTGTGTGTGTGTGTGTGAGAGAGAGGGTGAGAAAGGGAGAGGGAAAAAGAGGTAGACAGGCAGCCAAGCAGCCACCACCACAACCAAAAGATGTTTCCTTGCTCTTTTTCCAAAAAATCCCTGAGGGGACTATTTTTTGGCCACATACGCCCACTGTGTCTCTCTCACCCCCCCCTTCCCTCCTTCTAGAAGCAATTGTTGGAGGCCAGAATATATTTGTTTTGCTGCTGCAGCTTCAACATCCCCATCAGCCAGGAACAAATGCCTTCCCTTGGGAGCTAAAAAAGACAGAGGGAAGAAGGGATGGAAGAGAAGGGATGGCAGAGAGTGTTGCAGGACGGGCAGGCGGGCGGCTTGAGAGCTCTTGTTGTGGAGTGGATCTGACAGACGCTCCAAGATGACACAGGCTTGGACAGCCCAAGTCTGCATCTCTGTGCGGTACGCCTGCGCCTACTTGTCTGCGCTCGCTCTCATTTGTGTGTCTTGAAACAGCACAGCCGCGGGTGCGAGAGGCGCGGTTCGCCTTGAGTTGGACAGTGATGGAGGATTTCTCCCATCAGACAGTGCAAACAATGTATCAGCACTGCAAAAACTGAAGGCGGAACTCGAGATGAGGACAGTGTGGTGTATTCTAATAAGACTCACTTGAGAAAATCATATTATACAGTGGAGTATGATAATTCATACACCCTTTGCTGGAGCGGTGAACTGGTGCGGGTGGTGTACTCTCAAATGTCAGCATAAATTTGCAAAATAAACGCAATCGGCATTCAGCAGGGAGTAGGAACAGGGACAATAAGGGTCTCTGCTGTCTTGTGTGTTTGCGTGTGTGTGTTTGTGTGTGTGGGCGTGACAATTCCTCTCAGAGGGTCTGTGACTTGTTTCAGCTCACGGGAGCGCCTATCGCCCAACAAGTGTGTGTGTGAGCTAATCTAGGCTTACACGTGTTTTTCGGGGGGGGAAGGAAGGAGGCTGCTTGAGGAAAAAAACATTTCATCGCAGCATGTTTTATCAAAGCCTTTCCAAAGATGACCCAATCAATGTAATCTGCCTTTGCTTAAGAATAAGCGCCTGAGCATCTGTCCAAAAAGTCGCAAACAAGCAACACAAAGCGGCATAATGCTTTTGCAAAACCGAATGGAATCCCACACACACACACACACACACCGTGCATGCTGTTGGAGTGATAAAAAGAGTTGAAATGAATGACAGGGAACACATATGTCAGCCCATGTCCCAGTGCTTTATCTGAGTAATGCTTAAAGCCTTGGCATCTTATTTTACTACCTGCAAAGCCCACAACCTTTTACGTCCAATCCATGGGGTTTGATTTTAGCTGGCACAAGTCCCAGCTTCTCCTGGTCTATAAGTTTGTCTCCTTCACTTCCCATCTGTCACTACGTATGTCCGTCTTTTCTGTCCCTCTGCATCTCCTTCTGTTTCACTTTTGTCTACCTGCCTATGCCCCTTCCTCCCGTCCACGTGCGTCGCCTTGCGCAACTACTCACCCCTTTGGATTTTCCATTTCACAGTGTAACAACCAGAATATCAAGAAGACGTTCTTATTATTATTTGATAAGGAACAAAAGCAGACAACTGTTGGATGCGCTACTTAACCTGAAGTCCTCTGGTTGCACCGTATCTTATCTTAATACAATTTAAATGCAGTCCCACTTTATCTACTTCAAGTTATGATTCATTTATGCTGAAAGTAAAACTCCAATAAAATCCATTTTCATTCAAGTTGTAAGTGAAAAACTTATTGAAATTTGAGAGGGAATGTTTGAATTCTAGGTTAACCCAGTGTAAATATTCCTCTATCACCTTGACTTACCAAACCTACAACTTCAATGTGACTTCCTTTGTACACACGTATTATGACATAATGCCACATCCCACTGCCACCGCCATTGGCGATGTCAACATTGGAATCTGAAGAAGCCAAAACCAACAAGACACATTTCCATCAATCAAACACATTAAAGGCTGAACACGAAATCTAAGTGGAGTCCTGCAGTTAAAAAGACATCGGTCACACTTCTGCTGCTGTTATCTTTGGCAGTACATCGGGATCTCATTGGAGTAACCACCCCTTAACAACCGCGGCCTAAAATAGACTGTAGACTTTCACGGTCGGTCCGTTTTTAAAGAGGTGTCAAACACCCAGTGCCAGGGGACATCGCTGTTGTGTGGTTCAAGAGGGGAGGGTTTGTGGTGTATCATTCTTCACATGTCGTGTCGGGGACAGTTGGGACAGTGGCAGGGAATGGAGCAAGAGTCCAGCCAGGGGACAGCTTGTGATCTCAGACTGCATGCTGCTCTCAGAACAGCACACACATACAGAGAAAGAATACACCGAACGGGAACGGATCCATACACACACTTAACACTGCTTATATAGTGTAAACAAACTCCATCGCCCCTTTAATTGTCAAATACGACTTTCTCTGATGTGACAACAACGACTTTAACTGTACAACCATGTCAAAAGTCTGTTCACTCGTTGGCTACTGTCTGTCACACAGACCTGCAGCCTCAATGAAAGCCGTGGTGCATGAAAAACAACAGGAGGTGTTTGCTTTTCTCTCTGAGCTGCAAATCATTTCAACAGTTGACTTACTTGAACTAACGAAAGCCGGTTCAAACTTCCAGGCAGCGTGTTGTTTGATGGGGACTTTTAAAAGTGGGGCCTCTGTGTGACAGCTGCACACAGCTGTTACACATGTAACTCAAGGCTGCTCTGATAAACCTGTTCTTCTTCAAACACACGCCGATTTTAAAAAGGGGATGTTTGAGCATGACAGCACAGAATACACTCTCAAGATTTAGGGTTAACATTAATTAACATGTTCTATAATCTCTGCACATTTGATTGGATGCTTCTCTGCCCTGTTAGAGGCCAATCAGGGGGGGGTTGTAGGAAGTACAGCTGCAGCCCCAGCTTTCTGATCCTTGCCGAGCGGCAAACTTTCCCCTGTCAGATTAAGTAGGATTAGCCGGGTCCTGCTGTATGATGAACTGAGCACTTCATATGGTGACTTGGAACTTTCCAAAGAAGGAAAGAAAAAAAAAATCCTTGGTCAGGGAAATGCATTTTCTTTTCATTTTTTTTTTTTTTTTGCTTTGAAACCCCCAGTTTTCACAGCTTGATTAGAAGCCTCTCCGTTTCTTTAGCATAGCACAAAAGCTGCTGGCTTGTTGAGTGTGTGAAAACATCTCACGCAATCTGCAATGTACAGAAATGTTGTGGATGCAGACACGTGCGCTGTTTTCTCGAAGCATTTACCCTCGCAAGTATACAAAAAAACGACCATATAGGAAGTCGCACACGGCGTCTTCCTCAGAGCGAGCGCCTTCCCTCAGCAGGGTTGGTGCTAGGTTCCATTGTTTTTTTTCCCATCACACACTCACACGAGCACATGCATACTCTCTCATCGGTATTTTTATCCATCCCCAGAGCCGCTCTGTGGCTGCAAGCCATATCACTCTCAGACGACAGAGGAGCCTCGGTCACACCAGCTAGTACTTAAGCCCCCCACCCCCACATCCTTTCCGTGTGTGTTTGTGTGCATGAGAATGTGTGTGTGTGTGTGTGTGTGTGTGTGTGTGTGTGTGTGTGTGTGTGTGTGTGTGTGTGTGTACTGGGGTGGTCCACAGAGATACAATGTAAGTGTATAAAGAGATTCTGAAAAAAGGTGGCGGTGGTAGGGAAGAGGTCAAACATGGAAAGAATTTAGTCTCTTGTCAACTGTTGCCTGCAAGACCAGTGAAAAAAGCACACACACATACACACGACACAGACCCTGAAAAACGTGACTACATGACAGGGCAATCCACACAACCACACACACACGCACACACACACTGAAGGCTTCTCAGACAGGGTTTTTCCTCCTGAGGCAAGGCTAAAGCATCCAATCTCAGTCTTTCTTGTCTATCTCTGGCACTGATAAAGGCTTATAATGAACTGGGGACTGGAACTCAGTCCCAAGACCGATGGCTTTATGGCCCCGGCCAGATCATCACCCTCTGTGGACTTCGTTTGTCGCCGGGTGAGAACAGCAAAGACATGGAAAGAGAGGTTAGAGAAAGAGAGAGGGGGGCAAAGATTAAAGTTTTACACTTCAACCTTTGAGAAGTGTTTTGCAATACAGCTGCTGTGCACTTACTCTGCGTAGGAACAAACGCTCAAAGTTTTGATAAGGGAGCCTTCCGTGGCGGCCAGGATCCAAAAAGGGGACAAAGGTCCCTCCTGTGCTTATCACGTTATCTCTCCTTTTTTGTACTTCGGAGCAATGTAAAAGCGTGTTTGTAAACCGGTAACTGTCGTACATTTTGTTTGGCTCGCGTTCAGGTGTCTAGATAGTGTGTTGTATTATTCCAGCCCACGCCGTGACCCCTGGGAGACTATGAAGAAATAACTGTGCAAAGATGTTCCAAAGGACCACAACGCTTTTAGAAAGCACAAATGTGATATAAAACAAAGATGCTTTCTTACCTCAAAAAGATTGGACGCCTCGTTGCCATACTGAGTGGAAATGATCTCTGATTGGTCGCTGTACCATTTGAGGCCACCCAGGAAGCTGTCTGCGTCTAAGTCACTGACATCCAGCTCTGAGAGGTCAAGTTCGGGGAGGTCTGGGCAGAGGGGCTGGTCTTCGCCAACCAAGGCAGCACACTGGAAGGAAAAGAGAGAAAAATTACATCTCTTTCATATGCAAATTAGACTCTGGTTACTTCGTGCCAAGTGTGAAAACAATGGAGGAAATCTGGACAGGAGTCAGAAATTGTGTTGAAACGAGTCCCAAAAAAATAAACACATACGTGAGGATAACATAGAGAGGTTAACTAATCTCAATAGGAACTTCAATCTAATTCTCCTATTTCATTATTTTGAATTTGTCTTCCTCTATGATGTGATATGCCCACCTTTAACCTGTATTCATCCTGTTTCTGTCTAACCTGCAGAACACCCCGTCCTCCTCCTCCTCCTCCTCCTCCCCCCCCCCCCATCCCTTCCCGAGCTCTGCGATTGGCTCTGGCCTCCATGCTACTAACTGATGCCTGTTGACACTCTGTTATTCACCAGCCACTTTTATGTAATCTAGACAATGTGTACTGTATGTGGCAGCTGCTCCTGCTTCCTCACCACCGCAAATCAGCAGCTCTGCTCCGGCTGCAAGTGAGCAGCAATGGATTGAAAGTCAGTTGAGATTTGCTCATTTCAAAATGTGTTTTTTTTTAAAGCAGGGGGCAACAGGTTTCAAAAGACAAAAATATATTTTTGTTTTGGCCAACCATAATTATCACCATCTTTATGGAGGATATTACTAAGTTTAGTATGCAACCCCTGAGGCAGGTAACCAACAGTCAGCCTTTCTCTGTTCAAAATGCAAACTTTGAGATCATTTAAAGACAGAAACACACCAGACTCCAGGCGCGTCCACACTCTTGTTTCCACGCACATGCAATCCACGCTTAAGAAAACAGCTTTGTGTGCACTCTCTAATAGGCTGCACGCTCCTAATACTGTTGACAACACGTCGGCCGCTGTGTGATCCCTACAGGATGGCCTACAGACAGATACATATTATAGATATCCTCGTGGCGCAGCCGGGAGGTATTTGGCCCGCAGAGCGAGGAGGGATGAGAGCCGGGTTCGGCTCAGGGCAAAGCAGAGAGACGGATGCTGTGCCAGACACCGGTGTCACAGTTCATCTGTCGTCGGTTTCGCACCAACCCGAATACACGATGACTTCGACTGTGTGATGAGACAAATCCGTTATGTTGGGATGGGGACGAATTCACTGCGTCTTAAGCTCCCCCCTTTTGGTGATCAAATCTGACACGGCACGAGATGAAATAATGTTGCTTAAGATGTTGGAATATTCACGCTGGAAGTCGTGTGCCCAATTATCTTATGGACTTCTTGATTCACTAATGAAATTGCGCCGCCAGACAGACAATCAGTGCGCACAAAAGCACTCCGGTGATTTACGCACGCATCGCACATAAAAGCACCTGCAACAAGGGGGGGTGTGGGGGGGGGATTATCAGAGAGATCCTGCATGACAGTTCTCTCATTGAATTAAAACGTGGTACTGAGTCAACATGTACCATGGAATGTTTCGAAAAAAGCCTCAAGAAAACACGAAGCCTGTATTTGTTGGATTTGTCAGAAACGGTGACGATGACTCCCCCCTGAAGACTACCTGGCTGAAGTGACACACTGTGTGATAAAAGTGTAAATACGCGCATGAAATGCCAAGAAACCCCCCAAATGGAGCCGAAATAACACATCTTGACTTCTATTTTCTTGAAATAGTCGTATCACACAGCCTTGATCATCAAATGTATGCAGGCAGGCTGCAAGCACATCGTGTGGAAAGGTTTCTCAAATATCAGTGGGCTCCTGTACGCAGCCAGGTAGACCTAATGTGCATGACAAGCTGGACAGACTGTGTAAATAAGGAAAGAGGAGACGAATAAGTATCCCTTTGATGTGCCTTTATAAAGCCTATGAGTGCACTTTAATCTAAACTGTAAGAAATGCAAATAAACGACTTGTTAAGCAAAACGAGGCGTATCTTCTGTTAAGATGTAACACATACGCAGAAGATGATTTACAATTCGGAAAGATGAAGTCTGAAGGATGTTGCTTTCCAGCCAGCCGGTGCTAAGCTCATCCGGCCAGGCTGTTGGCACACAGACGTGCCCGGCAACGTTACTGTTATGATGCTCCTGCCTGCGCAATGCCAGATTAGCGGTCCCTATGTGTGGACAACCTTTGCTCCTAAAAAAAAAATAACAATCGCTAGTTTACGCAGCACATCAAAAGGGATTGTTATCGTCGGTGGAATTTCATGCGTCAGCGGAATACCTGACTTTGAGACATTTCGGTCATTTCTGCATGAAAAGCTTCCCGGAGCGCGTGCAGTCCGATATCCGACTGAGCAGAGATCCTATGTGGAAAGCAATACAAGCACTACATCGTTTACTGAGAAGAAAAAGGAGATTCCGCACATTTCCTCCACTTGTTATACATATTTCCGTCTTGTAGGCTATATCCCCCGCATCCTCAAACTGTGTCCAGACGCGCACTACAACCGGCATGCACCGCCAGCAGCAGCAGCAGCAGCAGCACCAGAGAGGAAGAGTGTATGTGCAAATCACTGCTTCGGATTGTCAGCGTTGTCCATCGTTCCAGGAGAAGAAGAAAAAAAGAAACTCCAGAGGGCTAGAAAGACGAAACAAGTCGGATTTTTTTTTTTTTTTTAATTTTGCATGCGCTCACCTCTAATTCTCTCCACACCGAGTCCTGGTTACACCTGTCCCACGCCATCCAGCCACTGAATGACGGCCCCGGAAAATAACAAAAAAAAAAAAAAAAAAAAAGAAAAAAGGAGAAAGAAATCAAGTAAAAAAGAAATCCACACACGCTTCCCACTCGCTCTCACACAGGCAACTGCTGCCCCTCGCCGAGAATGAACCGAGGGCACCTGTCTTACAACTGCTTTCCATCACATGACAAAGCTATTAAAAGTAGGCAGGGGAGTGACTCCGCGTCCACACTACTCGCCAGTGACGCGCGGGGAGCAGGCGGGGTCTGGCTGCGCACATAGTAAAAAGCCTTTCCATGCACTGCAAAAAATGTCCATCTGAAACCCATATCATGAGCTTTCAATCTTTATACAGTAGGCTGCATGTATAGAAAAAGTGAGCGAAAAAGAACAGAGCGTTGTCTGACTGAGACACTCGTTTCTGCAGTCGGAAAGAACACGCAGACTCGCCTTAAGAGCCATTCAGAACCCGTATTCGCAAAACATGTCTTTAAAGATTAATCTTGGTTTTCTAAAGATCTGGCGCTAATGATGTTTTGCGTTTTTTTTTTTTTGCGAAACGTTTAAGATGCCAAATTAAATGATTCGGCGTGTTTTTTGGGTTTTTTTTTGCAGCTTGAACGCAAACGATCGCAAATGCATGGAGCAAATTAGTTGTTAAATCACTAAACTAAAGGAATGAGAAACCAATCGTCAGGAATAGACAGTTTAGTCGATACTAAATTCAGGATCACTCTTCGTCGTCACGACATTGCCGTCATAAATCATCTGTCCCCGTCTGCATCGCATCCTTAGCTCCCCCAAAAAGTGACAGAAAATGTTATTTACGATGCTGATCAGGGAAAAGTGTCAGTGAATGAATGCGCAATAAACACAAGGGCTCTACCATGAATGTAAAGAACAATAGCAGCATGATGTTTTGCCAAGAGACGAAAAGTGGAATAAAAACTTCTCTTTTCATGAAGTGAGCGTAACAGTGGACATCTATCCTGTTTTTAAAACGTTTAGCTCTGCAATCACACTAACAGCACAGCATTTAGGCTAAGTGTAATCAAATCATGCTTCCTTAACAATATAATTAGTTTCCATTTTTCTCGACTGTCCTCTGACCTAAAAAGCCCGTGTTGTAGTTTAGAGTATCAAAGACGGTAATTCAGTCTGTTTGAAAGTATTTCGTTGTCCATTGAGAGGCAATAAAAAGGACAGGTGGCAGTATCAAACATGTATACAGTGTCAACAGGACGTGTATAGGCAACACTACCTCATGAAATGAAAAACAAAAGCTTTGTGGACATTTCAAACAGAGTGGGGCTTCTGCTGGGAGGACTGGCAGGCTTAATGCAGGAGGAATTCTCTCTATACTGTCTCCCTGTGATCGCACATTTAAGAGACTCATCATAGTAACATAGAAATGATCAGGAGGTGTGGTTTTATTCTTCTAAAGGTGGCAGAGATCTTGTAAAAAAAAAAAAGAGATAGCAGCTTTCTTTTTCTTTTTTTTTTATTTATAAGTGAACTTTTTAAAAATATTTCAGTAATAAGAAAGTCACTCCATGGAACATGCTAACCCCAATCTAATTTTGAGTCTTGTAAGCTATTAAGTCCACCTGAGCATGCACGAAGCAATTGTCTCCCTAAATTAGTGAGCCACATGCAGCAAGTCTCATTAAACACAAAATTGCACAGAAACCTGTATATATATAAAAAAAAAAAAAAAGGTTCTGGGACCTGAGATGTAAATTGCACAGATTGTGTGTGTTCACATGCCAGCGTGTGCCCTGAGTGTGCAGTATCAGACATGATATGTGTGTGTCTGTGTGATGCTTATGGGTATCTGAGGGCATTCGCAACCCTAAATCTATACATCTGCCTCTCGGAGCGTGCCCAGAGATGCTACCCAGAAGCCACAGCGAAACCTGATCGGAGCAGGTGGCGTGTGCAGTGACCTCACAGAGCCCAGATGGACCAAGTACCATAGAGACCGTAAATTAGGGGCGACATGGGAGTGAAACGGAGCTCGATGGTCGCTGGCTTTGTGGCTGCAGCGGAGATATTTAAGTGTAGTTAAATCAACATCTCGGTGTCTGTCCAACAGATGTAGGTACAGCTCAGATTCCTTATAAGTCGAGTAATAGCAACACAATCAACACAGACTAGCCCAAAAAAAAAAGAAAAGGAAAAGACGGGGAGAATATTGGCAGCAGATATGTGCTGGTAAACACCATTTCTCCCTCTCCTGAAGCGGCGTGTGAGTCACAGTCAAAAGGCTTATCTGATTGTACTCTTCATGCCAATTAAGACAACGGAAGCTAAATATAGATATAATGTTATGATTTCCTTTCTTGAATGGCCTTTGATTCTTTCTTTTTTTCTGCTAACATTCTTTGCTAGAGGCTGGGTATTTATGTATGCAGCAGCAGAGATTTGTAGATATAGGAATCATTTCAAAAAGGAAGAAAAAAGGGGGGGGGTTACATCTTTAGATACAGGTAATCTTTGAAATGCTTTTGTTTTGGCTGTAGAATGCTGCTAATGAAGATGTAGGTAGTGGAAGATCGTCACAGGGGGAAAAAAAAAAAGGAACAGAAAAGATATTTTGGACACCACTTCCGCTTTCTGCACCAGAAATGACCTGGGGTCTTGCTTTCACACTGCCCCTGCATTTAGCGGGCTCCTATAGATACCACGTGTCCAGGGGACTGAATCTATAGGATGGAGTGTGAAAAGTTGTTCACACCCATTGATGCATAGCATGTGTGTCATATGACGGACCTGACTTCCTTCAACCCCTCTATGAAGGCTTTCTGAAAACTGCGGGGCAAAAGCGTTGCACACCAATACACTTCAAAAGGAACTATTTAAACCCCAATTAATTCAAAGTGACTGTTTGTTAATCCACGACTCAGAAATAATGCAATGTGACAACTTTTCTGTATGCAGACTGAATAAAAACCACTCCCCAGTGCAGGAAAACTCTAGTTAGAGTTGAACTCGAAGGTTTTGGCTGCTGGCTGTTCGAAGAAAGCAAAAAAGGATGTCAATGATGAAACAATTTTTCCTTAAAGTCAGTTGACAAGTGCAGCTCTTGAAGCCAAAACGGGGCTAATCCACAGATAATTATCTTTGTTTGAATATTCAACATAGCCTGACTCATGGTTAAGAGTATCCTATTTGCATTTCTGGAAATCCAACACAATGTTTCCGTAAAAAAAAAAGAGAAAAAAGAAGCTAAACGTGTATCGATCCTGTCGTGGATGTTGTGGTTTTGTGGATTTGTTCAAATTTAATACACTGAGACGGTCCTTTTTTTTAAAAACAGTGTCGTTTTTGACAGTCCATCCATACTCAAGTGGTCGCGTCTTGTTTTCCTTTTTCCATAAATTGTGTCAGTGGCCCTCTGAGAGAGTGCTGCTGCTGCTGCTGCACAGTGTGTGAGTGTGGGGGGGGGATGATTCATATCACTTTGTTGCATGTCATTGCTCCCAACAGAATCTATCCTAGCATCTGGCCATTTTAATACATGGTGGCTGGATTCATATGAATTAATTGAGGGCAGAGGTAGAACGGAGTGCTACATCTATTAATTTATTGTTCCCGACTGTTAGGAGACAGCTCACGCTTTGTTCTTGCTGCTTGTCATTGGATGTGCTCTCAGATCTTTGGCGCTTTGGGGATTTTTTTGCCTTTGACAAGTCATATTGTCTTCTCCTTATTAGGGGACGGGAGAAGTGGTACATTTCATAAGAGTCAATCCTATTCATTTATTGTTCCCGACTGTTAGGAGACAGCTCACGCTTTGTTCTTGCTGCTTGTCATTGGATGTGCTCTCAGATCTTTGGCGCTTTGGGGATTTTTTTGCCTTTGACAAGTCATATTGTCTTCTCCTTATTAGGGGACGGGAGGAAGTGGTCACATTTCATAAGAGTCAATCCCTGTACAATAACATGGGAAGTCATGTCATATAAAACGGGCTGCAAGAAATGTAATTAGAAGCATATCTATCAGGTTCTAATGTGGCGTAATTATTATTTAAGCAATCATACATGCAATTATTCTATGCTGCTTCTTAGCTTTTATAACAGTATTATAGCACATATATATTATAACTACTTGTGTTTATACTTTAGCCTGTTGGGGACATTTTTATACCAAATTGTATTCCTATCTTCATTACCTTAATTGTAGTAGCACAATCGCTTCCTTGTAGGACCAATAACGTACTAATATTCTAAATACAAATAGTTTTTTTTAATTCTGCCTTTTTACATCAGTGCCTCAGCAAGAGCTCCAAATCCTTACGTCTACATGATCTCCCCAGCTTCCATGCATAATGTGCAACAAGATAAACAATGTGACGCCACAAATTGGGGCAGCCCTCGCCCTCTGACATACAGTAAGCCAGCGCATTCTCCCCCTGTGCGGATTTTTACATCGCCTCGCTTTGTAGTGCCCTTCAGAGAACCCGTCGCCTTGCCGCCCCGCATGCAAGCGTGTAATCCTTTCCATCAATGAACTCCACTGTGTCATTTAGCCACTCTCAGGATGGCGGCTACTCTCCCCGCAGAGAGTCCGGCCCACATTATTAAGGCAAATGGCACGGGGAGGCTAGCGCCAGTTAGCCGTGGCCGACTGAAAATAGCATCAGTCCCACGCAGGGGCAGGTAAACACAAATAAGGAGCCTGGGGCGCCACACAGGACGCTCCCACCCTCCCCCTTCCTCTACTCCAGGTCTGTTTCGGAGGAGGAAAGCAGGGAAAAGCGTCGGCTTTGGCCCCCCCACGCTGCAGACGAATAATATCACGGTCACACGGCGATGTGAGTTGGAGTGTCTCGTCGGAGTTGTGTGTTGTAGGGCTGTTACAGGGCTTGTTTAAAACCACCAGCGAGTCATGCAAGATGCATGTGGAAAGTGGTGGCAGAAAGGGGGCGAGCTGTGAGCGCAGGCCTGGTGTGTAATGTGTCTTAGTGGAGAACTGTGCTAAACTAGCGCTCTGGGCAGGGACTTCTGAGGCGCTTTGTGTTTTGCTTGGGTATAGCACTCACAAGGAATATTAAAATTTATGGACCATGAGGGTTTTGGGTTGCAAACACACATGCATAAACAAGACTGGCGCACTCCCTGTGCTTAAATTGCTACAAACCCAAACTTTGAAATGGCTGTAAAATTCCAACAGATGC